GCGGATATGATACACCAATAGAAGTTTATGAAGGAATGGAAGAAGAAGAAACGTATCCAGACTACATTCATGATTTAGACGGTGCATTGAAAAGGTTGCAGGTGCTATCAGAACAAAGAAAACATGTAGAAGATGCCAAAAGTGATTTAGATGACGTTCATCATCAGTCATTACCAGCAGGCGTTGAAGTTCATTCAATGGATGTTCCAGCAGAAAATGATGATGATAATGAAGAAGAAGCAGAAATAACCGCGCTAGAACAAAAAGTAGCATACACACGTGGTTTTGACCCTGACCAAGTCTTCAACGATGATAGCGTTACTTATAGAGGGTTAATGTTTCAGTTATTTGTTAGAGATTTGTTAACGGATGAAATGGTGGATTTATTGAATAAACTACCAACAGACCAGAAAAAGAAGCAATACCTAGTATCAATCATAGAGGGTCACAAAGAATTAGATGAATGGAACGCAGATTTTGACAGTGCTAAATTAAGTCGTAAAATAAAGTTGTTTAAAAGAGAGAGAAGACGTGTAAAATCCAAAAGAGTAGAACAATCAGCATCATCAAGTGGAGTAGGTGCAGTAGTCCCTTCACAAACAGCATCATCAACACCTTTAAGAGACATAGCAGTAGCTGGTGCAAAAGCAGGTGTTGAAACACTAGCAAAAGCGGGAGCAACAGCAATAGCAAAATCATTTTTACCAGTATAAAAATATACTTATTAATATATGTTGAGGTTACGCCCCACTTATGAAGAAATTGCAAGGGAAGCAAGAACAAGAAGATTAAGAATATTACCAGAGAAAGAGAGAAGAACACAACAAGGTTTATTATTAAATGATGTTAACTTTGATGACTTTGATTTAGGTAAGTATGATAAGAAGACAATATTAATGAATGATAACCCTAATAAGGGAACACAAACGGATGTATTCAATGAAACACCAAGCATAACAGAAAGTGAAAGTATGAAATCATTAGAAGAAGAAGTTAAACAGAGACAAACAGATGAAAGCCTTTCAAGTATAAATAGTAGTAAAAAAGAAGAAAAGACTGAAAGAGAACGTGAACGCAATCAACCAGAGAAAAAATCAGTAATGCGTAGAGTTTGTGATGCTATGTTTGGAGAAGATGAATTTAAAGAAGAAAGAGAAGAAATGAGAAGCAGAAGGCAACAAATATATACTGATGAAGATGTAAATGAACCATCTGTAGAGAAACAAAAGACTGAAGAGAGCGATGATGATTTACCTATGAATGTTAAAAAATCTTTTGAGCCTTCTTCGTCATCAAGTTCTAGAAGAAGTTCAAACAGAAGTGTATTATTACCCATTGAAGAAGAGGCGTTAAGTGAACATATTCATTCATCACCTCCTGAAACAGTTCAAAGTTCCGTTCCAAGTGATAGAACAATTGAATATGTTGAAGAGCCAAGTCCACCTCAAAGTGTCATTAGTTCTCGTAGAAGTCAAGAAACCATAGAATACATAAGGAGTAGAAGCAGTAGTAATAGCAGAAGAACATTAAGTAGTTAATTATTACTTTATGGGGGGTGCTAAAACGCCCCCTACTTAAAGAATAATTAACGTTATATAGTAAGATGAACTCCTGCTTTGTAACGGAAAAAGGTGAAAAGTTAAATATTGATGATGACCTTTTTGACGTGCTGTGGAACTCGCTAGATGAAGAGAATAGCGAGGAAATAGCACAAGCGAAAAAGAAATCACACAATGATAAAAACAATGAAAAATATAAACAAAATGGCTACTTCAAACAATATTTTAAAAATAATAGTCAGTGCTTTGAATGTGAGAAGTGTGGAAGAAAGATAAGTAGCAATACTAATAAATCTAAACATATGAACACGAAGAGATGTAAAGAAATTTATCAAGAAAAACTAGAAAAGGAAATGATGGATAAGATAGGAAGGAAGATATTGTTATGGAATTGATATTATTATCTAACATATAATAATATTAATTATGAGTAAGAATAATAAATTAGCAGAACTATATTATGATATTGAGTCAGGTTTTGGGAGTGCAAAGAGTTTATATGATGATGCTATAAAAGCGGGATTAGTAGTAACGCTAAATGAAGTTAAAGAATGGTTGAAAAGTCAGTCAATAAAACAGAGAAGTAATTACAAACAGTATAACAGTTATTCAGCTCCTTTTGCTAGAGCTATTTATTCTGTGGATTTAATGAATATGATTAGTTTAATGAAAGATACTGACACATATAAGAAAGAATATCCGTTATATGGTTTTGTATGTGTTGATAACTTTAGTAAGAAGTGTCACGTTGTGCCAATGCAAAATAAAGACGGTGACACAGTACTAAATGCTCTAAAGGAATGTTTCAAAGTAATGGGTCATCCCCAGTCGGTTTATAGTGATGATGAAGGAGCGTTGAACGATAAAATATTACAAAAATATTTGAAAGACGAGGGCATAACACATAATACAACTTTAACTCATGCAAATGTGGCTGAACGAATGATAAGAACCTTAAAGAAAATGATAGGTGATAGGGCACTTGTTCATAAAGGAGCGTGGACAATAATGTTAAAACCTGTTTTGGATAAATACAATAAACAAATGAAACACAGCACGACGGGAATGACACCTAATGAAGCCCATAAAGATGAGCACCATATAGAAGTAAAAGCTAATTCAGTAATGAAGGAAAAATATTTACGAAATTATCCTAATATTAAAGAAGGTGACACTGTAAAGGTTTTTACAAAAAGTGGTGGTAATTATACCAGCAGAAAAGAAACAAGGAGCAAATGGAGCGAGAAAACATATGAAGTTAAAGAAGTTGAAAGAGATAAACAACTGAATAAATATTATGTTCTTGAAAGTTTACCTAAAAAATATATGAGACATGAATTATTGTTAATAAATAAGTAAATCTACTTAAAGAAAAAAGACTTTAATATATTAGTGATATGGACACTGATAAAGCAAAGAAGATTGTTAAGAAGTTCATCCAAAATAACCGTTATCCTGAATATAATGATATAGTTAAAATGTTAAAGAAAAACTTTAATAAATACCGAGAAAGTGATGATAAAGAATTTGCTATTCATTATCTTAATCTTTTCAGTGAGTATGGACAACCGAACCATGAATGGATGAAAGAAATATATGAAAATATCATGAATAGAAAACTAATTAAAACAAACGGTGAGAAGATATATAATAGAGGCGGTGCCCTTGTAATGCAATCCAACTATTATACATTGATTGAGATATTGAAAGATATGTTTGAAGATAAAGGTATGAAACATGATGAACGAGTAGAAATATTGTATCCAATAAAAGAAAAAATTAGTGAATGCTGGAATGGAGTGGGAGAATGGAGACACTAACTATTATATTATAAACAATTAAAACTGTATAATATGCTAGTATCTACTTAAGGACAGACCGCCCTAGAATAGTAGGAACTATGACCATCCTAGATTATAGCAAGTGTGAAGCGTGTAAGAAACTTAAAAATACAAAATCAGTAACTTTAAATAAAATATTACCTGAAGTTGTAGTAGATAAAATCGTTTCATATAATTGTTGTTATTATTGTGGAATGATGAGGAAGAAAGAACAAGAAAATAAAACTAATGAGCACTTAAGTAAGATTGAAAAACAAATACAGTATTTCAAACGAACTAAATTATCAAGATTTAATGAATATGATAGAAGCATAACAAGGGAAATAAACCAACTGAAAAACATTATTGACAGAGGAAACAGTCCGTTTAAAAATGTTTTAAAATCATATGTTAGAAATTGCTATAGGGTAATAACTTATCAGTTCTGTATGGTTATTAGGAACTTACATAATAAGAAGTGGTTAATAGACTTTATAAATAATAAATCAAATATACTAACCATGAGATATAGTTATTATAAAAATACTTATCCAGATAAATGGTTATGTAAAATAATTGTTTATGAATATTTACATGATTTGATAAGTTATGATATGAAGTATATTGATAATGATGAACTTAAAAAATATTTGAATGATGTATTTGATGATAATAATAATAAGAGGCACTGCCGACCCTAGGCGGGAGGGGGTAGGCACTTAAAGGGAGGGCGTCCTACTATAGTAAGAGAGCCATGAACTGGAAACTGGAAGGGGGGACGACACAGCAAGAAATCAAACATTTTATAAAAGAAAACCCGCTACCGCGAAGAGGAAATAAATTTTGGACAAAAGTTTCAGATAAATTTTTGATGATGGAAACACCCATTGATGAAGATGATAAGAAAACAAAAGATGATAGACTTGAAATGCTTTTTGCTATTATGGTATTGAAAGATGAAGACGGAATGGTTGACATATATGAAAAAATTGACGATGTAGAAACCATTAAAAGGGTTGGAAAAGAGTTTAATGAAAGAAACGGTATGAATTCATTATATATTAATATTTGTATTTTACGAGAAGCAATTAGAACAATGACTTTAAATGATGATTTAAGAATATCAATATTAAAAACTATAGTTCAAGTGTGGAAAGATAACGGAATTTGGAAAGAAACCTAAAATATAAACTTCAAGACAAAACCCCGCTACAAAGCTTCATAATAAAACTTATTATGAATATTTGATAAAACATTAGAAGGTCAAACTCCCCAGAAACCTAGGAATTATGATAATCCCTGAAATTATGATGAAAATAATGAATGAGATGACTACATGTGATGAAATTTTAGGGTGAATGTACTTAAAACTGATGATTTCATGATGAAACCCCAGAAACCCCTCCCATAAAACGAATGAGATGGAAATAATGATGTAGAATGAAGAAGATGATGATGGTGAAAATGATGTGATGTGAATAATGAAGATGGTGAGGTGTTGACCCCAGCGCCTGAAGGCCTGAACCCTAGGAACCCCCTATTTACTATTTTTTGGGGGGGGGGGGGGGCAGTGACAAAAAAGAGAGCTTGAAACCGAAGAACCCAGAGATCGCGCAATGGCCTGGGTTTGACTCGGCACGCTCGGGCACGGTAGGCTTGCTCTCCTGCTGGGCACAGTTGCGCGGCATGAAGAGTTCCAATTGGGGCTTTAATAAGGCGAGCTGAACCTTCAGAAGTGGCAGACCAGGAAGCTTCGAAAGGGTTTGTGGCTGCAAACTGCACAAAGCCTCGACATGCTTCGACGATAGCTCGCATGAACCCAGCAGACGTGCCACAACTTCAAGACACTGCTGGCAAGGTGAGACAGGGCCCGCGAGCCTCTTGCGCTGCCAGCCAGCACCCTCAGCATGACCACAACACGGCTTGGGCGTGCTCTCTTGATGGGTCTTGAAAGCTCCGTGTTCCTTCGTGGCTTCGGGGTGCGGGGGCCCAAGGGGTCCAGGACCTCACAGTGGGAGGGCCAAGTCCTGAAGGCCCGCGCTGAACCGCAGGAGAGTTCTGAAACATTCTGAAACCCTTGCGCCACCCTGCCACAAAAGTGCCCCGGGTGCCAGGCGGCCGGCACCCAGCGCCGCGAGCACGAGAGCCCGGTGGCGCATCTTGTGACGCATCTTGCGGGGTATGGGGTTGCAGCGTGTGGGCTGCGGTGCATTTTTCTTGCCGGGAGCGCCCCACTCTCGGGCACGGTATCATTTTCGGATTTCCGGGGCTTTGGGGTGACGCTGACTGCGCATGCTGCATGGGTTTCAAGGTCAGCTTTTGTAAAGATAAAGGGTTTTGCGGGGTCTTTTGGAGACTAAGGTCGTGGGGCTTCGAGCCCCCCCTGTAATTGAGAGAACATGCGCAGCAGGCAATCATGAGCCACGCATCCGGCGCGGCAACACGCTGCAAACTCTTCCACGGATTACGGATGATGATCTACGAACCCTCAGCTGACCTCATGACCTGGCACTCGCAAAGCCCCAAAGCCTTCCGGATCTAAGAATCTTTTGGTTCTTCATCGGTCCTAGCTTCATCCTTGGTCGTGGCAGTCAGGATTGTCGCCCCTTACGGCTTCCTGGCTCGAGTTGCGCTCTTTCCTCTTTTGGGACAACATCGGGGGCTCCCCAGCTTCCCCCTATTTCGCGGGGCCCACCTCCTCAACGGGAAAACTTCCCCACACACTTTTCTCCACGCGCGCGCTGTCCCGCAGCCCCTGTCCCGTCGCGCACGGCGGCACCAAGGCGAGGTGTGCAGCGAGTTCTCGCAGGGTTCCCTGAGCTGGTCAGAGCTTCTTCCGGGGATCTTGCGGGGATTCTTTGGCGAAGGGCTTGTTGTCAAGGTCCATTGCTTTTGACGTTTTGGGCTCGGGGATCGTGTAGGGGCTAACAGGATCTAACTGCACTCGAGTTACGACAAGATCCTTGCAAGATTAAGCTTCGAAGGCACTCAAACTTTCTACACGTAGTGCACATTCGTCCGGCCTCACAAGATGCTCAATACCTGGTCCTCAATCGAATGGCTCAATCATGCTGGGCCCCAGGCAGGAAGCAGCTTCGCGAGAGTTTCATAGGCCAGTGGAACGGTCCAATCCAGGAGTCATGACGCACGACGCCAGCTCTTAGAGTTCTCAGGGCCTGCGGCTCCATGAATCAGGGTGTGGACAGGATGAGGTCCTGAACCCTAAACTGGCTTGGCGCCAGAGCACCCGGCAGGTCTATCCAAAAGCAATGATATATGGATATGATATGAGCGACCTTCCCAAGACTGTCGACAGCTGCTCCTGCTGTCAAGTCAAACTCTGTGTGGTTTTTTGCTGGTCTTGGGAAGGTCAAGAACAGATTTGGCAGCAAAACTGCCTTCACTGCATTTTCGGTCCTCGCGCTACTCCTGCTTGGGGCATTTTTCGGTTTGACTTTTTGACGCTGCACTGAGTTATATCGAGGTTCTCAGTTACCAATAGGAAAGCGCCCGCGAGCTGCCCGTTGGCGAGTAGTGTCCCAAATCAGCTGCCGAGACAGTGCACTGGGGTATCAAGTTCGGGCTGCCTTTCCATCCTACGGTCTGGACCTTCCCAGCCTAAGTTCGGAATCCAACAGCTTGGCGCAATGCGTTCTATGGCGAGGACATGCAGTGAGCTGAGCTCTGCAGTTGAGACGATTCAAGTCGCCGAGGCGAGCAGCATTCCGTTCAAGCAAAGTGGCGGGCTAGATGCTGACAAATCACCCTTATAGCCACCCCATCCGAAGACTTTTTCACACGAGACCAAAGAGCTCCAGAACTGAAAAGATGGACAAGAATTGACAACTCAAAACACATGACTGCACTTCACGGCACACATTTCGCATCCCAAAGTCCCAGCAAGCCCCGAATCTCAAGCTATCCAGATCCTCTGCGGGCTTGCCACAGCACAAACTTTGCTTAAAGCACCGCCTTCTTAAACAAAGTACAGCCCTAAAGTATTGATCCCCTTCGCTTCAGCTCGCTCGCCAGCTGGTGGTATCCCACCGGTTCTCAATCGGGAGTCATGGGAAGGGCGCTCGCAGGTCATCTTCTACGTTAAGTTTAAGGCGCAGGGTTTAGGATTGAGGCCATCCAGCAGAATCAATTCCCAGCCCCAAAGACGAAGCATGAAGGTCCAGAATCCTCATACCCTAACGCCTCCACTCCCCACACTCCCCAGAAAGTACCGGGAGGGTAGCGAGAAGTCGTGCTTGCGGCGGCGCTCCACGCAAGCCGGCATTGAGGCACCGATACTTGATTCCGATTCTACTTTTTTTATTTGGGGCGGGGGGGTGGGGGGGGTGCGGTTGCAGGATTTGGGCCAAGGGGACTGCCCGCTTAGGGGCTTAGGGGGTTAGGCGCTAAAGGAGAGGAGCCGAAGCACAGCATCCGCAACTACAAAATAACCCCCAAGGTATTCCAAGCCCTGGAAGGCCTTCCGGGGCCTTGCCTAACAGCACTAAGGTTCTCTGGGATCACCTCAGCAGAACGGCCTTACAGGAGCACCGCCTCTTACAGCGCGCGCTACTGCAATTCTCACTTCCGACTTGAGCTGCTTTTTTTGTTCCGGACATGTGAAGAAGCTGCTTGGTGGCTCAGCGTGTTGACATTGAGGGTTGAAGGGAGGCAGTACTCAACGCTGGAAGCCTCCAACAATCAGTGATAGTACCACACCGTGACCCAATTCTTGTTCTGCTTCGTAGGAACTCCCTTCTGCAAACCCAAATTCCTCCAAGGGTGGACTAATCCTAGGTCTTATTAGCCATCCCAATGCCAAGCCCAAGGCTTATGAGGATTCCATTCTGTTGCATTGGATTTTGCATTCTGCACTGCTACGGGTGCTGAAGAATCTGAGCAGAGCTTAGGGTGGTTGGAGTGTCAGAGAACCGCAAGAGACAGAAACTGTATCCAGGTAGCAAGAGTTCACTGATTCGCGGGAGCCCGAGAGCGCTTGGAAGAACCCTTTCTGCTCGTCTCAGTGAGGAAGTGAGGACTGAGGCAGCGCAGCATGCAGAGATTGTGACCCGAGGGGTTGCTTGGCACATAGACCTATGCTTCCTCAAAGCACTCCCACTAACATGTGCCCCCAGAACCCCGCAGATTCAGTCGCCTCCCTGGCATCGATGCCACAGAAGGCGTGCCCAAGCTGCCAGCTGAGCTCTGCAAGGCATTGGAAGACTGCAAAGGGGCTTTGTTCCATTTTCCATCCTTTCATGATCGCAAGCTGAGCCTTATGGTGGAATACTACCGAGCTGCGAAATGAAGCCGCGTCACAATCCCGAAGAGCAGGATGCTACTTTACTTTCTAGACATATGACAGCACAGGAAAAGGCTTGAAATGCTCGATGCTTCAATCAAAGTCGTCTGCACCTGGGTATTCCAGAGTGCTCGGCCTATGGCTTAGCTGGGCAGGAACCAGCTTCTGCCGTGGACGTTGCATGCAGTAACCCGTGAGAGGTTCAGGTTAACCATACCAAGAGGTACTAAACTCAGTAGCTCAGCCCTCAGCTTGAAAGTAACTATGCACAAAACAATCAGCAGCAGCCGAGCTTTGTTGCACGCCAGGTTCACACATGTAGCAGAACTGTGCAGCGCTTGCCCATTCGAAGGCTGCTTGTCTGCCCCCGCACTTCAGATCTGTTGTTTCGTCAAAAAAAATTGTGTAGGCTTGGCGACAAGCTTCAAAGCATACTGAGAGTGATCTGACAAGCAAGGCTCAAAGCTCGGCGGGTGGTGTCACGGAGCAGTCGCAGGGGCTGCCCCACAAACTGGGGCTTGCCGAACATCCCGGAAGTGGATGTGAGCGCCCGGGCCCTCTCCAAGACGGCGGCCCCGTGGACCCACAAGCAAATTGGCAGGCGAAGGGCTCTGGAATAGGGAATGAAATCCAGCACGCAGAAAGCGGAGTTCGATGAGCCCTGCTGCAGTCGTGTCACGCGATGTACAGTAAAACCCTCGATAGTTTCTAGTGTAGTGATCAAATGTATATATACATATGTGTATGTATGTATGTATGTATGTATGTATGTATGTATGTATGTATGTATGTATGTATGTATGTATGTATGTATGTATGTATGTATGTATGTATGTATGTATGTATGTATACGCATATGCACACAAAAACATAAATCATATGACATATATGCTCACCCCCACCCACCCCGCCCATGTCCTACCCCTCACCTATTAGCGCATGATGTAATTCATACAAGTACTGGAATTGGCAACCCCCAAAAAAACAGTATTTAGTTAGTTCAGTTCACGACATTACTGTAATCGAGAGTCAATTCTATGTTGCAACTTGTTCAAGTTAGCTGTTCGAGCTTCTTAGCTAATAGTACATTCGTCAGCTGTGAAAACCATCACAGGTTCATTGAAGAATCTGCAATGCAGTTTGGCTACTTTGCTAACAGACTGATGCACTTTCGCCTTTACTCTATGATAATACTAACGCAATGACTGAAATTGGTATACCCTGGCTATAATCATCTGCCCCTCCCCAAAGCCACATTTCGCAGCCAGGGGGCCCATTTGATTTGTTAACAAAGGAGAACTTTGACTAGTTTGCACAGATTACTGGCCAAATAATTCTCGGGGAAGGCGATCACCATTGGCGGTTCCTTCCATTACGAAAGTTTTCCCTCGCCTAGCTGGCTAGCAATTACCTGCGACTCCACTTCTTTGGGTTTTCGACATTTAGCTCATCCTGACTTAAAGCAATTCATCCCTCAGGAAACGGGGACCTACATAATCTCATGAGTTAAACTAGTTAGATTGTCCTTTCGCTTTCAAACACCTAACATTAGCTTGAGCCACGTAGTGGGCATAAGACATACCCCGCCCCCAATTGGACCTT